ACACACACACACACACATACTCTCACACTCACTCACTCACACACACACACACACTCTCACGGTTCCTTTGGGGAGGATAGTCAACATGAAATCTAATGGACTGTTTACTTTATTAGCATGTTTCTGGTCTTGTGAATGATTCATTAGCATACATTATTCTAAGGAGTAAAATGTGTGTAGCAGGATTCAAGGATTTTTTTCTACAGTGATTCCAGTTTTTCTTGCCCTGCCAAAATTTTCCACTGGCCCTGCCACAAAAAAAAGTTATTGTTTTTGATGTTTTTGATCCATGTAACCTTGTGTAATACCAGCATTTTAGTTACCCGTTGAAATTTCACAATTCTAGATTCTAATTTTGATACCACAGCAAAAACTGATATAACTCAAACATCATTAAAGACAAGTAAATAGTCAGTAATAAAATTACAAGTAAATTACAAGCAATAGCACAAATAAATACAGTAGAACAAATCAAATAAACAGTGGTTCAAGTTTTTCAGGCAGATCTAACTCTTTTTATTCAGGTAAGAAATACTACAGAGATTGAATGAAGTAATACATGTATATGTTCTGTTGCAAAAATTCTAATTTAATTCAGATTCACACCCTAACCTCTTAATTTTCAAGAACCGATCCCACAGGAAGTGTCTGATGTGGCGTGTGTCGTTCTGTGCAGGGGTTTTGAGTGAGCGTAAGAAGGTGACTCTGGGCACTCAGCCCACGGTTCTGCGCACCTTCCGCTCGCTCTCCACATCTAATGTGTTCGCCTGCTCCGACCGGCCCACCGTCATCTACTCCAGCAACCACAAACTGGTCTTCTCTAACGTCAACCTGAAGGAGGTCAACTACATGTGCCCACTCAACTCTGAGGGATACCCCGACAGGTAGGACACGAGAAAGATCAGGCCTGTTCTTATCAGCGAACACATCTGTAGTGAAAGATGGAGCGGTGACTTTGATTTCCTCTTCCTTCTGTCACAGTCTGGCTCTGGCCAACAACAGCACTCTGACCATCGGCACTATCGATGAGATCCAGAAGCTCCACATCCGAACCGTTCCTCTCTACGAGTCGCCCAAGTGAGTGTGTGTCCTCCGACAGGAACACATCCAGACTGCAGTCTCTGAGCTTTACTGGAAAGACTTATCAAGAAAATCAGCGCATTAAACTAGGAATATCAATGATTAATCGCTAATCCATTAATCACAGTTAATAATTTATTACATGAAGCTTCTCATTGTGTATGAGAGCGAAAGCACTGTCTATAAAATCATCAGTCTTTGTTTCTTGCTCACTAAACACGCACCCTTCATATGCTCGAGTATAATGTCATTAGCATTGGAGCGTTTACTTTTAAAGTATAGATGATGTGCACTACAAACACATGATCGTATGTTAAAGTTGTCTTTTTTTGCAGTGCCGCTCTTTCTAATAAATCCAGCCCATCAGTTTTATTTAGTGGCTCTCTGAGGGTTAAACCCACTGAGTAATCTAATGACACATTGTAAAGGCCAAATAAAACCAAAATTGGCTATTGGCATCTGAAGCGTGAATATTTAGTGATTAATCAGCACACTCGGTCGCTCCGGTGCTGTCTGTGCTTCAGTGCTCGTGTGTGTCGTTGCAGGCGGATCTGCTATCAGGAGGTGTCTCAGTGTTTCGGAGTTTTGTCCAGTAGAGTAGAAATGCAGGACACCAGCGGGACAACAGCAGCCGTGCGGCCCAGCGCCAGCACACAGGTGTGTGTGTGTGTGAGTGAGAGTGTGTGAGAGTGAGTGTGTGTGTGAGTCTCTCTCTCTCTCTCTCTCTCTGCAGTGCTGCATGCGCATCAGTTCCTGCAGAACGAGTATGCACTAAGTATGGTGTCCTGTAAGCTGGGCAGAGATCCTGCCATCTACTTTATCGTCGGCACGGCGATGGTGTATCCGGAGGAGGCGGAGCCTAAACAGGGCCGCATCATCGTCTTTCACTATACAGACGGTAACCGTCAGACACACCCCTGATTATTTTCCACAGTTATTAAATGTTGCTCAAGGTACAAAGTGTTTCTACAAATATCGTGTCTTTTTCAGTTATGAATAAAGTCCAGAGTTTACTTTGGTTTTTACATGTATGCATCCAGTTTGTGTGATGCAGATTTCGTCATCATCATTAGCACAGCTGTGTGCACACGTCTAGCGCTCGTTTCAAAACTCAAACATACTTCGGCCTTAAGAAGTCTCTTCAAGCTTTGACCATTTCACAATAAAATAAAACTACTTGATGTTCCACATACGTGTGTGTGTTGAATCATGGGCTGGTTCTGGTGTTCTCTGTGTTTCCAGGCAAGCTGCAGACGGTGGCAGAGAAGGAGGTTAAAGGTGCGGTTTACTCCATGGTGGAGTTTAATGGTAAACTGCTAGCCAGCATCAACAGCACCGTGAGTTTCCTCCCATGATGCTGTTCAGTGTAATGGGTTTCCTGTGCGGCGCTGACGTCTGTGTCTCGACAGGTGCGTCTGTACGAGTGGACGGCAGAGAAAGAGCTGAGGACGGAGTGTAATCACTATAATAACATCATGGCCCTGTATCTGAAGACTAAAGGTGACTTCATCCTGGTGGGGGACCTGATGCGCTCCGTGCTGCTGCTGGCCTACAAACCCATGGAGGGCAGCTTCGAGGAGGTGACGGCTGCCGCCGGGAATTCTGGGATTCATGCGTCGTTTCTAGTTGTAAGAAAGCAGTTCTTAATTTCCTCTCGCTGTTTTCCTTCCATTAGATTGCTCGTGATTTCAATCCCAACTGGATGAGTGCTGTTGAAATCCTGGATGATGACAACTTCCTCGGAGCGGAGAACGCTTTCAACCTGTTCGTCTGCCAGAAGGACAGGTAATGGATCGAGTGTTGTTTCATGTGACTGGCAGGTTGCTGGAGGAAGGACTGGGCGTCTGAAGGGTCAGTGAAATCATAGCTCAGTAGGAATCCAGCGATAATGAGTTTCGCATGAGGATGACAGATTTCACTTCCGGTTGATAACTGGAGTTTGACCAGCAGAAAGTTGCTTGGATTGAGCGTGACCTCTGAAGCTGTGCTTCGTGTATCACTGCACTGTTGATAACAGATAAAGGGCCTGTTTTCTTCACTGATGTGATGCACCTTAAGGGCAGTGAATGATTGTTGGGTTGCGTGTGTCCTCCAGCGCGGCGACTACAGACGAGGAGCGGCAGCACCTGCAGGAGGTGGGTCTGTTCCACCTGGGAGAGTTTGTCAACGTGTTTTCACACGGATCTCTGGTGCTGCAGAATCTGGGCGAGAGCTCGACACCGACACAAGGCTCGGTGCTGTTCGGCACAGTCAACGGCATGATCGGTGAGCTGCTTCTCCCTTCACTCTGCTGTACCTCAAACACTTTTAGAGTCACAGCCGTGAGATCGGGACGTTACTAATGTACCTGCCTCGATGGGAAGTGTCTGGATGTGTCTGTGAGGACTGATTTACAGACGTCTACAGAAGAGGAATACATCGTGATTAAGAGCGGTTTGTCAGGCGTGAGGTGTGGAGCCGCTTCTGCACTCATATCAGATTCATTCTGAAGAATATAAAGCAGCTTTCATTTGTAGGATTTCCAGAGAATTAAACTCTACCTTCATATCATTACTGTGATGTTGGTTGTGTGTGTAAATGTGCGTTTGCTCTGTGTTTGAGGTTTGGTGACGTCGCTGTCGGAGGGCTGGTACAGTTTACTGCTGGATCTACAGAACCGACTCAACAAGGTCATCAAGAGCGTCGGCAAGATCGAGCACAGCTTATATCCTTCAGCAGCGGTCAGAGACGTGTGCTTGTGTGTGTGATTTAACACTCTTTTCTGACCTGTTGAAGTCCTTGACTAGCGCCACCTGGAGGTCCTTCCACACCGAGCGCAAGACTGAGCAGGCCACAGGATTCATTGACGGAGATCTGATCGAGAGCTTCTTGGATCTGGGTCGAGCTAAGATGCAGGAGGTGGTCAGCACACTGCAGGTGATCTCCTCACATCCACTGCTTTCCTGCTTCTTCATTCATGGCTTCTCTGATGATGTAAAAAATCGCTCCTGATGAATGCTTGCGCTCACGACTCGCTCATCGTATTATATGGTGATGTGTAGTTAAAGCGGCGCTGACCGGATGTGTCTGGGCTCATCTTGACCCGTCTCAATCAGGCGTGTTTGATTAGGAAGAGTTTAAAATGGATTTGTCCAAAAGTGGAACATCAGGCGATTATTGAATCATTACCACGATACTGATTTCTCACTATAGACATTAAAAGTTTTTTTAAAAAAGGGCAAAAAACCGCATCTGTACGCAAACTGACTGCCAACTGCCATTTTTGTTCATTCAGCTCAGCTTAGTCACACGTAAAGGATTGTGGGATATCATAGGTGTGTTCCATGTCATATTGGTAAAGATGGTGTTTATGAGTTATGGATGGGAAACTGGATTTGAGTTTGTGAGTCGCCTATAGGCAATAATATATAGGCCTAATGATTCGATATGCAGAATATTTGTCAGTTAATATGAATAAAAACAAAGCAAACACATGACGTGTACTTAATTCCTCATTTTATAGAAGTAGAGTTAAAAGATACACGTCTATAATGCTCTAACCGAGCGACTTAAACACACCTGACTCCATAATGATGAACGTCCAGGACTTAAACACAGCAGTACATCTGCGCTGCTCATAAATCCATCAGATGAAGGCGTGTCAGGCGACAGGAAGTGATGCGATCACTGCATTCAGACGCCTCCAGAAACAGGGCTGGGAAACACGGAGCTAAAGATACATGTTCACCAAAGGATTATGATTTTAATTGAAAAGATTATTTAAACAAAAAAGCTGTTTTAATAAAAATACCCTAATACCCCTCTAATATGAGTTGTGATGCACACGATGCTTTATTTCCACACAGATGCAGGTTGAGCATCTCAAATGCTTTCCTGAATACTTGAGTGCACGTGTGTAAGCTTCATCGGTCTTCACATTCACACGTGTTCATGTGTTTGTGTTGTAGATGGATGACGGCAGCGGGATGAAGCGCGAGGCGACGGTGGACGAGGTGATTAAAATCGTGGAGGAGCTGACGCGGATCCACTAACCGCGAGCGTCACGCATCTGTACATAACTATACATACATCAGAGCGTGTGTGTGTGTGTGTGTTCAGTCTCACGCTCACGCATGCACAGCCGCGCTCACCTCGTCTTCATGTGCTTGTCCTGTGAGCATCGAGGTGAAGATCACGGTCTGCTGTAGGGAGGAGCCGATTCTGATTCTGCCAGCACTGATCCGCAGTAGTTTTAGTGAAGCGTTTGTCATTGTGGTGTCTCTGTTTGGTCATTTATTTTAATAAAGTTTCCTTCAGTATTTTGGGCCCGTTGTGTTTTATCTAGTGTGTGTGTGTGGTCTTTTAATAAAAGCAGCACATTACATACAGAAGAGATGAATTCAGTCGTATTATCTCCTCTCCTGTGTAGGAGGCTGATATAAGAGCTCAAATCAGAGCCGCACTGTGCATTATCCTGCATATTACATGACTGCTTCATTAATAAATAAATAAATGGACATGAAATATTGATTTGAGTGTGCATGACTTTATTATGGGAAGCAGGAGAGAGTGATATTAGACAGTTCAGCAGAAAGCCTTCTGATCATCACATCTGTCCTGATCCATCTAATATAATCATAGGAAGTCATTAATACATTAAACAACTGATTGTGCTTATGTCCGCTCTTGTGATTTAAGTTAATAAAACTTTATTTTGTGATTATTAAACCATAGGATCAGCCATTGATTTAAGTAAATGTTTTTGTCAAAATGTGTATTGTGTGAATTAAAGTGGTCTCGTCATGGCAACAGAGTTGTAAAATCCAAACAGGAAAGGCCTGTAATTTCACTGTAATCCAGATTTTTGTATTGTGTACTTCTATTTTTATTTATGTATTTTTATGTGAGGCCTTGCCATCATTTATTTCCTATATACAGATGGACACTGCAGTCCTGGTTTATCAGGGATGTTCCAGGTTCACAACAAGCTAAACTGACAGATTGAAATAATAAGTGATGAGAGAGAGTTTGAGTGTGTGTTTCATCACGTTTGAGGAAGCAGATGAGTTACACTTGGATCGGGAATCTAGTTCAGGTTTTGTGTTTCTGTCCTGTGACCCATCCATTTCAGGTCTCTAATAACTAGCAGAGGAGCTGAATCAGGTGTGTTTAATTAGGAAGAGTCATTAGGGAAATGTGTGCTGTTGTCGTTTCTCCAGGAGCAGGGTTGAGAAACACAGATGTAGTGTAATGTCAAGGCATTCAGTAATTAGACGTGCTGCTGCGTGTTTTGGGAAGTTTTCATTTGAGATTGTTGTAGGCCATGGTTTCTGCTCCTCTGCAGAACGCTGTCTCTCTCTATGTGTTTGTGGTCTGTGAATGTGAAAGAAGATCACTCTCCTCATCATCATCCTGCAGAACACAACCAACCTCGATGAAATACCTGCAGTGATAGCTTCTGTTAGTTATTTTGACCCAGAGCGTTGAACGGTTTGGTCTTTGGAAATCTTGATGGTTTTGGGAAAGATCTGGGAAATTTCTTCGGTTCAACACGGACCAGCCATGAGTATGATGATGGACTCCTGTTCTGTCAAGCAAGATGAGGCACAAAACCTCTGATTCCTGCCATCATACCACTGATCTATAATAGAGAACAAACACTATATATATATATATAGATCAGCGCACTCATCATACAGCGAATGTCTTCTGTAATCGTGCTGATCATCAGTGAGCTTCAGACCAGGTAAATACATGAACTTCATTATAACATTGAAAATATTTATAACATGCATCATTGCTCAAGAAACGGTTATAACGTTCAGTTTGTTAATCATGGCTGCTGATGTTCTGATGTATATTATGCAGGATAGTTAATGCATTACAGTACTGTGTTACTGCATAAAAACTAACAAATCGTGTTACTTAGTTACTTTCTTACACCTGAGCTGGGCTTGCTTATTTATTTTTAATAACAGAAAAACAAAAACAAAAACGTTATATTTTTGGCAACTGTAAGGGCCCTTTCATATCAAAAAAATGAAATGAATAAGTCTCAGTCACTCCCAATTTCTCTCAACACGGAGACAGGAGAGCTGTCAGTGAATAAACGGGAAAACACATATCTTGCATTACTTATTTAAGAAAGTAACTCTGATATTTTCTTGTAAATGTAAAAGTAATGCATTACATTAGTTACTTGAAGGAGTAATCTGATTATGTATTTTGCGTTACCCCTAACCCTGAGGACCGCTCTTCTTCTTCGGAGCTGTATTGAGGATTCATGAACGAAGTGGACACGATTGTCTACAAGAAACAGCTCCATGCTGATTCCAGTGTGAATGAGAACACACACACCTTCAGCAAGAAAAGGTACCTGGACTTAATTTTATTAGTCAGTAGTCATGTATTAGACCCATAGACTGTATAAAAACAGATTAGATCATTCATGTGATCATCTAAACACCTTTAGGATATTCCACTGTTAACGTACACAAACATCCAACTTCTAAACCTCATTAGCTGATTTAGTGATTAGATATGTGCTTTTATAAGTAGATGCTTAACCTCATGCATTTGTCATTGACTGATAGCTCTTTATTCATTTGATGATCCTGAAAGTATGAAGCTTCGTCTCCACTGGAGTCCTTCTGAAAGAGTTTTCCAGGTATGTTCAAGACCTCTTTCACTTTGTTTCATCATTATGATCAGGTTAGATTTTCTGAAAATAAACTGATTATAATAAATTTTTAAAGATGTTAAAGAGGATCATTGGGTGTTATTTGTATGCCAGTGACAGAATCACCAGGAAAAAGTAACTGATTGCAGAAGCAGCTTCACAGATAGACAGGCTAGAGAAAGGAAAAACGGAGGAGAATGAATCTGTTTGTCCATGCAGTGAATTATTGTGACTCTGATGTTTGTCGACTGGCCGCAGACCCGGCAGAAGCAGTCATGAACGAGACGTCTGTCCTGAAACCTTAATTCACAAATGGCAGCTTGTGACTAAATATTCTGACTGTAAGTAAACGAAGCTCCGCCTCGATGCAGTGATTGACAGGTGTGCAGTTCATAGTCACACTGGATTCTCTAAATCACTGAATTCTGTTACATTCTTCCTGAAATATTCACGAAAAACCACTTCAATTATGACTGTAAATGCATTTGAACAATAGTTTAGCTGTCCTTACTGCATTCACAAATGAAATCTATCGTAACACATTCAGTTTTATATTTAATGTTAGCAGTAGTGTTGGAAATGCAAATCACATAAATGTATTTGGTTCTTCCAAATTTAGTACATATTTATTCCCATTATTTCCCATAGGGTTAGGAATTGTAAATTCAAATACAGGAATACATTGACATTTTACATTTTTCATCTCAAATTGAATTCAGCTAAACGCTTCCATCATTTTCAAGCGACATATTTCATAAAAAGAAGCTTGTTAGGTTCAAAATGATAAAACTATACAAACAGTGTTCAAAATGAAGATATCTGAGACTCGACCGTGAGTTTGTGGTGGATCTGTTTGTGTGGGTGTTTTATTCTGTGTTGGTGGCACAGACATCAGACTTCAGGCCACTGTCGATGCAATAACGTTAAAAACTTTGCTTTTGCTCTTTTACTGAATCGGCTGCTGGACAGACTTTTGCTGCTTTCTACATACTGCAAGTACTTCATTTGCTCAACTAAAATGTCTGTTTTATTACTTTTTGCTTTAAAGATGTCAAGTAAGTCATATATACAAAAATGTGATCTAAATATTTGAATTTGAATCTGAATAAATATAAACAGCGGTTATTCATTTAATACGTATTAATATGAAATTATACAAATATAAAATTATGACATTTGTTACTGGTGTCCCTCTTTAAAGGGGTCATATGATGTTGCTAAAAAGAACATTATTTGGTGTATTTGGTGTAATGAAATGTGTTTATGCGGTTTAAAGTTAAAAAAACACATTATTTTCCACATACTGTACATTATTGTTTCTCCTCTATGCCCCGCCTTTCTGAAACACGTCGATTTTTACAAAGCTCATCGGTCTGAAAAGCGAGGTGTGCTCTGATTGGCCAGCTATCCAGTGCGTTGTGATTGGCCAAATACCTCAAGCGTGAGACGGAAATGTTACGCCCCTCCCCATACTGTTGATGCCGTGTCCGGCCGGAGCGACGAGACATAAACATTAAAACCCATTATAAACGAGACATTTGTTGCATCCAGTGGGGACATAAATGCTGATTATAATGACTTGTATTGTCTTTTTACGCTTTGCATTGCATCGCGCCACGTAAACATAAAACCATGTCTGCATTTGTGATCAGAGAAATGACAAACAACAAGTGCTAACGTTAATCCACACTGCCCAAAACTCGCGTTTGAATCATCAGTGGCAAATGATAAAAGAAAACGTACTTACATGAGTCAGAACTGCTGGCATTTTAGTCTAACGTTACTCTCCCAGGATCAGTAAACAGTCCTCCATAAAATGTGCCGGCAATCCACAGCACTAAGTTGATGTATTCCCTCAGCGACCAGCACAGATCAGCTCTAGGCATAACGAAGCGGATATCGTCCTCTTTTGGAAGACCAAACAAAGTAGTTTCGCTTTCACAACGAAAAACACAGCGGCCTAGCATGAGCGAAAGCCCCGGCTTAGCCTGAGCTGAAGCCGGGCAAGAGTGAGCTGAGGCGGCGGGGTCGAGAACGGCGGTCCCGGCAAAGGAGCGGTGAAAACGGTGAAAGCCGATCCGGTGATCCACAGCACTAAGTTGATGTATTCCCTCAGCGACCAGCACAGATCAGCTCTAGGCATGACGAAGCGGATATCGTCCTCTTTTGGAAGACCAAACAAAGTAGCTTCGCTTTCACAACGAAGCACACAGCGTCTTCAGGACATGGCGGCAGCGGCAACAATACTACAGTGAGAATAAAAGTTACGCCTTCTTTCTTTGCGTGAACATTTGGGCGGCGTTATGCAAATCTTCCCACATAGTGAGGTAGATATGTGGGGGCGTGTTAGAACGAGCCGTTTTAGGTAGGTGTGGCTAACTCTTAACTTTTATAAAGAATATCTCTTTGGATTTGAGACTTTAGTCTTTGCAACTTTACAGATCTTCTTTATGCACCAAGAGCTTGTAACACTCCAAAGAGAAAGGAAAAAATGAAATTGCATCATATGACCCCTTTAAAAACACCTTTTGCTCATGTGCGCGCAACCGCGGGTGATTTCATTTTCCACTCAAGTCGAGTCTGGGGTCTGCGATATACATCTACGATAATATGGTAAGTGTTGTTGTAATGATGTGCGATCTGATTGTCATTGACTGATAGCTCTTTATTCATTTGATGATCCTGAAAGTATGAAGCTTCGTCTCCACTGGAGTCCTTCTGAAAGAGTTTTCCAGGTATGTTCAAGACCTCTTTCACTTTGTTTCATCATTATGATCAGGTTAGATTTTCTGAAAATAAACTGATTATAATAAATTTTTAAAGATGTTAAAGAGGATCATTGGGTGTTATTTGTATGCCAGTGACAGAATCACCAGGAAAAAGTAACTGATTGCAGAAGCAGCTTCACAGATAGACAGGCTAGAGAAAGGAAAAACGGAGGAGAATGAATCTGTTTGTCCATGCAGTGAATTATTGTGACTCTGATGTTTGTCGACTGGCCGCAGACCCGGCAGAAGCAGTCATGAACGAGACGTCTGTCCTGAAACCTTAATTCACAAATGGCAGCTTGTGACTAAATATTCTGACTGTAAGTAAACGAAGCTCCGCCTCGATGCAGTGATTGACAGGTGTGCAGTTCATAGTCACACTGGATTCTCTAAATCACTGAATTCTGTTACATTCTTCCTGAAATATTCACGAAAAACCACTTCAATTATGACTGTAAATGCATTTGAACAATAGTTTAGCTGTCCTTACTGCATTCACAAATGAAATCTATCGTAACACATTCAGTTTTATATTTAATGTTAGCAGTAGTGTTGGAAATGCAAATCACATAAATGTATTTGGTTCTTCCAAATTTAGTACATATTTATTCCCATTATTTCCCATAGGGTTAGGAATTGTAAATTCAAATACAGGAATACATTGACATTTTACATTTTTCATCTCAAATTGAATTCAGCTAAACGCTTCCATCATTTTCAAGCGACATATTTCATAAAAAGAAGCTTGTTAGGTTCAAAATGATAAAACTATACAAACAGTGTTCAAAATGAAGATATCTGAGACTCGACCGTGAGTTTGTGGTGGATCTGTTTGTGTGGGTGTTTTATTCTGTGTTGGTGGCACAGACATCAGACTTCAGGCCACTGTCGATGCAATAACGTTAAAAACTGTGCTTTTGCTCTTTTACTGAATCGGCTGCTGAACAGACTTGTGCTGCTTTCTACATACTGCAAGTACTTCATTTGCTCAACTAAAATGTCTGTTTTATTACTTTTTGCTTTAAAGATGTCAAGTAAGTCATATATACAAAAATGTGATCTAAATATCTTACCTTTTAAATCTATTGAGAATTTGCTCTGAATAAATATAAACAGCGGTTATTCATTTAATAAGTATTAATATGAAATTATACAAATATAAAATTATGACATTAGTTACTGGTGTCCCTCTTTAAAGGGGTCATATGATGCTGCTAAAAAGAACATTATTTTGTGTATTTGGTGTAATGAAATGTGTTTATGCGGTTTAAAGTAAAAAAAACACATTATTTTCCACATACTGTACATTATTGTTTCTCCTCTATGCCCCGCCTTTTACCATAATCGCGAGCTTCAGCTTTGAACATAAATGTAAAGACAGAGCCCGAAAGGGGAACAGAGTCGCGTGACAGACACAGTGATGAAGCTGGTATGTGTTTGCAGTACACAAGCCACGGTTAAGACAGCTGACTCCACTGTGACCCTGTCTCTCTCTCTCACACACACACGCGTGGGCGCGCACACACACACACAATGCACAAAACTCTGCATTTGAACTGTCAATAGCAAATACTTAAACTAATAGCAAAACAGTAGCTGATTCAGAAGCGCCAGATTGTCATAGCAAAGTCAGAATTGCCTCCTCTCCTAGGTTCACGAAACGGTCGTCCATAAAATGCATTGCTGTTCTGTTGTAAGTGATCTTAAAGATTCCTAAATGCATCTGCTTTCGGAAGGCCAAATAAAGTGCTTTTGCTTTCGCACTGAAACACAGCGTCTCCCTGACATGGCTGCATCAACACTACTGCTGTTTCTGAAACCACGCCTTCTTTCTTTGCGTGCACGTTTGGGCGGCATTATGCTAATATTTCCACATAGTGAGGTAGATATGTGGGGGCGTGTTCGAACGAGCCGTTTTAGGTAGGTGTGGCTAACTCTTAACTTTTATAAAGAATATCTCTTTGGATTTGAGACTTTAGTCTTTGCAACTTTACAGATCTTCTTTATGCACCAAGAGCTTGTAACACTCCAAAGAGAAAGGAAAACTTGAAATCGCATCATATGACCCCTTTAAAATAGCTATATTTTCTTCACAAATGGACAAAACAGAAAAAAAAGAAACTGTCCATTAAATATTCACAAAGAGCCATTTTCATTCTTTCAGTTGATCTGGATTATAAAATCATGTTGCAAATAGCAGTGTGTGAGCAAAAGGTTGTGAGTGATGGCTACCGCGATGAAGAAGCAGAGATGCAGGTGTGTTTGGTCCGGTTCTGCTCTCGGCCGCGTCTCTATGCGTAGAAGGTCTCCACTTTCACAGCGTGACAGAATATGGTCATGGAGAACACCAGCCCCAGGATCTGCAAACACACGTCAATGCTGACCATCGCTGAGCTCTTATGTGTTGAGTGTTGTGATGTGAGCGTTCAGTACCTGTGTTAGAGCCGTACACAGAGCAAAGATCCACAGAGCCACCAGATTCTCCTGCAGCCAGCCCTTCACTCGCTCGTAACACGGCTGTAGACACAAACCACAGCGGTCAGTCACTTCAGAGAGAGCTGGACACTGTCACACTTACAGAGACTCAGTCTGTCCTGCCCAAACTGCCTGTTCACTCGGAGAATACACCAACACAGCAGAGAAAACAGTGTGTGCCAAACCATTTGATGAGCTCTTTAGAGACTAAAGCTGACTTACAGCCGTCCACCAGGTGCCAGGATTCTCCAGACCGCAGTTATCTCTGTACTCCAGACAGCAGGAGTCCGGCACACGCGTCGCGTTATACACGTGAAACCAGTCCGTGTGATTGGTCACTCCACAGCAGCGAAACTACGGCACACACACACACACACACACACACACACACACACACACAGAGAGAGAGAGACACACACACA